TACGCAAGACAGACAAGTTGATTGATGATGTTGTGAACCTTCATCGATTGAGATAGCTTGAACATGTATTATGCATGCGGAGTTAGCGCCTTCCTCGACGTGTGATGATTGCAGAAGTTGGACTGGGTTGGAAGAGGGTTCAGAGTGGCCAGACCAAGACGGAATACCTCTCCATCAAGTCCCTGATTGTTGATAGAAGTTGAGTGGAGAGATGAAGACTATTTAGTTGGAGTTTTCGAGACGATAAGAATCAATGATTGAGGACTCTTGATGATATGGTTGAAAATCGGTGTCAGTGGCGCAGACGTATTAACTCCCTAACATCTTCCAAAACTTATTTATTCTCGCACACAATTTTATCTTCTTTGGTATCAGTCTTTTTCTATCCACCTGTTCTTTGTATACTTCTATGAAGTATGGCAACTTCAGGTAATAGATTTGTGTGTGAGGTTCTACGTTGATTTTGTCAGTCTGTCAGGATTTGGATTAGAAGTCCTGACTGGGCAACCAGTATGAATACAATAGTGAGACAGTCACACATCTCGAATTCACGTGGCAATATGTGAAAACTCTTCATTATTGAAGTGAATTCAAGATAAGATATGGACAGCAGCTGCCAGGTCTCTTATCTCAATTGTTAGAGGACCAGACTGGTATCAAGTATATAAGTCTACCGAACCACGGCTACCTCAGGTAATCAAGCTGATGTATGTCTAAGTGTACTTAGAGGTGTTGTGGATAAGCAGTTTGTGTAATAGAATAATTCAAATAAAAAGCGTGTTGGCTGCTTTTTTTTAACCAATTGCTTGTAAAAGAGTTTCAGAGGCTCATTTTAGTCTTTCATTTCTAGATATTGCCTTCATATATCTAGTACTTTGCATAGAAGTGAAGAGTAAATCTTCAACACTTGAAACTGGACAGTATTGGACATTGATTTCAAGTCAGAATTGTTCTTATTTTTAGGATATTTCATAAACAAACTTCATATGAATCGATTTTGGACACTAGATACTATAAAAGTACAACTTCTATCGTTAATATATCGCCTTTCAAGTCCAACTTCAATCCAGTGCTTAAGTTTACTCTAAAGACTAACCACTTTTGTTTCATCACTTAGTTATAACTAAGTCATGACTATTCTGATAGACGGTGTATTACAAAAACTATGAACAATTTGCCTATAAATTGACATTTTCATAAGTTGTGGTATTTTTCCGATTGACATTTCCTACATATTAACGTGTATACCTCCCCTTATTTTTATTTTGCTTCTATTATTTCCATGTTTTCTCTGAATCTCATTCGACAACTTCCTATTATTGAGACTTCTAGCTTATCTGAGTTATCACAAATCAATAAATGAGTGCTCATTTAAAGTCATTCCTTATTATTGCTTAGGCTTGACATCTCCATCGTTTATCTTTTAATATACATCTGAAAGTAAGCGGTTTTCGCTATACTCTTGAAATCCCTCGCTGTCCGAGATACCTTCAATCAGTGTTTCAGTTAGATGTTTCGGATATATGTGATCCATCCGTCAACCTAGACAGTTTATTTCACGTGGACTTGCTCATGGATAGCAAAATTTGACTTCATCGACTTTTTTTTGCTCTAAAGATCTTTCTACCCAGCTAATAACTACTCTGTTGACTGAATGATTGTAGTGTTTACAACGCCAGCCTATTCAAACTTTTTTCACTGAAAGGTTCACTATATCAAGTCGATTGAGGGGACAAGTGAAACTGGAAACGGTTTCTGTCATGGTGTAAGTTATTTCCACTAATGTAATGGTCTGAGAGTGAACAGACTTGTAACAACAGTAGAGTGTTTTCCTCGGGTGAACAACTTTCTCTGGCGTTTTTTCTCTTTCCACTTCAAGAAGCAGGTTATTAAACGGTTGGTTACAGTACCCTTAAGTTTTGTCTCCACCTGTAAGGCTTCTTAAAAAACGAGTGAGACTGTTCAAGCATGAACATTCCCCCTTGAAAGTCTCTTGAACTGTTCATTTGCTTACTTTTCGAATTACTCCAAGAAGAGATCCATTTTCATACTGTACATAGTTGGAAGGTATTAAATAAATATTTACGCGCTCATAACTCAGTAAAGATCTGTACTAAATATAACCGATTTTATCATCAATTTTATATCCCTTTACTAATATTGTAGATCTTGTCATTTCTTCAATTTTTTGTTAACGATTAGCACCAATGGAACACTCTTCATTATCATGTAAAACTATGCTGTCAACTGCATGTTTGAGGCTTGAACTTTAGGATTATATGGTAAAATAGAGAACAAGCTAAGAACCACCGTCTATGGTTGTTTGTTACCTTTCAACGATGCCCATACACGTTCAGTCAAAGTGTAGGTTGTCTAACTCTTATCAAACTTGAGCACAGCAGAGTAATCAGTTATATTCATAATCCATTATAGGATGGTGAATTCAAAACTTTTTAAAACGTCCAGCTAGTAAATAGATAGACAAAACCAACTTAGAACTACGCACACAAGTTCATTCCTTCAAGGTGTCAAACTCAACAGATAACATGCTAAGAAGAAGTGGATAAAAGAAGGCTAACATCAGAGTAGAGAAAGGCGCATGGGAGGAGAGGGAATTTAGAAATTTAAGTTAGCCAAAACATTCAAGGTTTAGAAGGTGTCAAGGAGTGAATAAATCTGTGCCATCGTGACCGACTTTCAACCATTTCTCGTTGGAGCTGTGGTTTAGGGCGATGATTATTAGCCATTGGGTAGTGGGTACGACTCCTGTTCCACCAACCGAGGTTTGGGCACCCAGATAATATCAGTAACCCTCACACAATATGTATGGCTCACTGTCTACGGTACGGATGTGCACGAGGTAGCTGGGTGAGTTTCGTTTCGTTCACTGTCGCCTCAAGGAACCTTGCCAGATAGTCTACACTTCTCTAGATGACTGAGACCAAACGTTAACAGGAAATAATAAATTTCTACAATTTTTCTTGCAACATCTTGATGTCTGTTGAGCCATTTCGGTGGATAGCATGTGTATTACGATAAATCTAAACGAAAGCTGACAATCACAACACCATCGAGCTGGAGCTAACAAACGGTAATAGTCGTTCCAAATCATCTAGGATATAAACTACATATATACTTCTGTCAGTAATTTCATTTTTGAAGCTAACAACATATGGATCAGCAAGTTTGAAGACGCTTACCAGAGCACGTGGAAATACTCCAACAACTTTGACCATGAAATTTTGTACGTTATGAATTTTTGATGCCTGCCTACCCATATAACTAAACTCAAGTCAGCCCAAATGAAATTCGAGTTTGGCTATCAATTGAGTATTGAACTTTGATGACTGTTAGATTTCTTAGGTTATGTAAGTACACACAAAAAACTGACTTATGTAGATCAGATATGATTTTGTTAAAGTTGTAAAAGCATTAGTCATATATTCACCAGACGGCTATACACTATCACCAACATTGTAAACCATTACTGACTGTACTTTTCGATATTGCAGTCTTTTTTCTGCATGAAGGCACTTGAGAAAAGAAATTCCGTATCTTAAACGCTATATAAAAACATTCAGTCGAATGAGGTCCTGAGATCTCTCATTACTACATGAAACTGATAGCGAACTTAGGTTTACCAAGTTGTGGTAGTTTCTTTTACTTTATCGTAGATGGCATTAGTCTGTTACTTTATTATAAAGGCATTCCAGTTTTGTATATGTTAATGATATATCAAATTCAGGTTGCGAAAATGGTATCTAGTGAAGTAAAGTATTTTTACAAGGTTGACAGCATCTTGTATTTTCATGCACTCTAAACTAATTGGGAGAAAAAAGATTTCCCATACTTTGATTTAGCTCACTCTTTTTTGGTTATGAATCATTACCGTACGTTTCGTTGCGTGTCTACACACCATCAGTATTTTATTTCATACAGAATATTTCTTGATACTTAACTTCACTTCGTTATATACGTACTGATGGACATAATCAATGGTACGTCTGACTTAACAGGTATTGGTTTACACTCTGGAGGTCATCTGGTTGACAATAGTGTCTTGCTAAATCAAGACGCTGACAAAATATAGGGTATTCTAAACTGAACGTGTAAAGCAAAAATCTGAGTACGTTTGGCATGCATCTTGTTGGCACTTGGGAAATGTAGGCTGGTGCTTCAGAGCTGGTTTGTAGCTACTCGTAGTCTAAGAATAGGTGGTGAAGCAGTGGAAGGTGTCAACCGACTTCATCTAATTGTCGAGTCGCATTATCTCAAACGGGTGATGTGTGACTTAAAACAATTTTAAACTGCTTATACATAATGACTAACCATTGTGTTTGACTTGCAACACCATATGTGTAACACGTTAATTGTTTATTACAAAACATTTGTATAACCAAAATAAGATGAAGGAAACCTATTATTCAAATGCATCACGCAGTTAGTATCAAACACCTATTGTCCTACAATATGATTGAAACGATAATGATGAACAGCTTGGTGGGTGGATAGCTGAATAAGACGAAAATGAATTTTAATAGAAAGATAAAAACATCGATAAAAAATCACTGTCATAAATCAATATGATAGACGGCAATAAATTTCAGTGTAGGCTAAAATGAGGCATATCTTTAAAATGATACAATATCCCATGTATGGCTAAATATCTGTCACAGAACATTGAATAATTCTACAGTGTTGATTATATATTTAATACTGTGAACTCTATATGAGAACAACTTTTCATGTTTACTCAAAATGTGTGTTATATTTGGAAACAGTTGGTCAACGCATATCTTCATCAATTGGTTCCCGTATGTTTTAGATTTGGAATGACTTGGATCCTCGACGGCGTTCGATATATATATATATATATATATATATATATATATATATTAGAATGATTACTTTTCACTATGATTTCATTTTACCTTGACCGTGGATAATTAATGTGTGATTGATGTAACTTAAATTGATTTTTTTTTCTTTTTCTACTTCAGTTTTCTGTCCACAATCATCTGACCAGTCACCTAGTGCAAGTCGATTCAGTTTCATTTTTTCTCCACTTGATGTAAGTGCACCGCATGCATCTCAAGAAACTTTAAGTACAGCAGCATCTCAAACATCTATTTTACTTGGTTCACCCTCTAGTCCAAGAAGTTTTCAAACTCCTAGCACTTCAACAACAGATCGTTTAACAGTAGGACTTGGTGATGTTAGTGATGAATTCGTTCATTGTACCAGTAGGACTGGTACTATGCTACCGTCATCTCGTACGTTAAATTAGGTATTTCTATGAATTTTCTTATCTGTCAGCTTTATAGTACTCTAATTCTTTCATATGTAGTATGTTCATCCCTTGTTAATTTTTCTTGTTTCACTTATAATTTTATTTTTGAAATATATATGTCTCCCTGTTGAGTAATAGCATTTTGGGTTTCAGCTGAATAGCGATTGTGTATGTGTGTGTGCGTATATATGTTTTCTTTTTTGAATGGTTATTACCGTTGGGAATCGGCCAATATCTCATGAGAATGAGAAACTCTTTCTCTGTTCTGCATCAATTATTTCGTCCAACATTGATGTGAATCTAATCGGTATACTGTCTACTTTTGTTTCATTATGTTGATTTCATCATACCCATGGTTGGTTTGATTTTATTTCTACATTCTCTTCTGGATTATTATTAACTTTTCCCAGCCAATAAGCTGATTGTTCACTTTTGTGCACTTCTGACATACAACCATTGATCAGTGAACAATTACCATTATTATTATTATTATTATGTGTTGATTTATCTTTGTGGAATTGAAAACTTATGTATTACTTCTCCTGTACACCCACTCATCAGTGAATCGATTTAGGACAACTGACTATTCAATGAGAAAACGCCGACAAATCATGTAAATGTGAATTATCGTTATATTTATGAACATTTTATTGCAACATTTATCTGCCTAGTTTATTGTTATTCAAATGTATATGTCATTTTGCTGAGATGAAACTTTTCTGTGTAATCTGTCCTTCTTTGTTCTCAGTTCTTCTGGTGGTTGTTGATGAAGTACCTAAGTCTACCCATCTCTTCTATTTCTCATGGTTTCACCAATCCTTTTCACCTTCATGTCTGTCAGTCTCAACGTGTCCTTTGTCGTCTCTCTCGCTCTTTCTCTGCACATTCTCAATTATGTTTGTATTCGTTTTTGTTGTAAATTCAGATCATTTCTCTAACAAGTTGGCTAGTTATCCTTACTTCATCTTTTTCTATGCACACAGGTGATAAACGTTTCATATATGCTTGAATGTTTAGTTTTCAAATATATAGACCTAAATTATGCGTAAGTGTACATGTCTTCAAGTTCACTCCTATGATCCTTAATGCATATTTGTAATATCTCTGTGTGTATATGCAGAATTATTTTTGCTTGCCTGGTACTGGAAGTGTTTACACATCATTTGATTGATATAACATATATGTATATTTGTAATGTCTTCGTTCTGTTATTTGTTAATGCTTGAAGTATTCAAAATCTCTTACCTCTTTATTTCTGATCGTGAATTTGACATCATTGGGTCAGCGTATGGCAGAAACTAGTAATTATCAAGGTTGCTCACTGACACTACTCCTACTTAACTTCGTTGTAGGCTTACTAATGGGCGTAACCAAAAGGTACCGCTAACTTCACAGAGATTAATCTACATCCTGAAGGTCATCTGGTTGATGATATTGTCCTGTTAAGTGAAGATGCTGACAAAATATAGGGTATTCTAAACTGAACGCGTTGAGCAAAAACCTGAGTATGTTTGGCATGCATCTTGTTGACACTTGTCAAATGTAGGTTGGTGCTTCAGAGCTGGTTTGCAACTACTCGTAGTCTAAGAATAGGTGGTGAAGCAGTGGAAGGTGTCAACCAACTTCATTTAATTGTCGAGTTGCACTATCTTAAACGGGCTGGCTTTTGATGAAATATCAGCTTGGATGTAAAAGTCTCATTTAGCTCTTGCCAATTTATATCATCTCTAACACTCACTGGCAAGATATCTGACTGCCTATCAAAGGATGAGTATCCTGCACCACATTCCATTCTGTCATGTTGTAAGACTGTGAGATATGACCGTTAAAAGTAGCCAACATAAAGCGGTTACAGGATTTTGATCATTGGTATCTTTGTAACGTTGCTGGCGTTCAATGGAATCACCTTGTGGATAGTATCGAGGTTAGGCGAAGCGTACTAGACAAAGAAGGGAAGGCGTAGAAGTGTGTTGAGCGTTTGGAGTCATCGCCTACCTCCACACACAATGCTGGGAAAAATTGGATTAGGTTGGTAGAAGGCTTGGGGTCATCAGGCTGGTATTCATCATGGACTAATATTAGTTGGAGGAACATTGGAAACCTAAGAGCACTGAACAGCTGTTCCGTTCAACTTGTATGGGACTCTTCAGCACTGCACACCCACGGCCCCACCAGTGATCGCACCCGTGACCTTCAAGTCCTGTGGTCAACACGGTACCAGTGAGCCACAGGGTCGAAATACAGTGGTCCATATTTCAAACTTCTATCAGTTCACGACATAGCGTGACCATCACCCAGTTCCATCGCTAAGTATTTGTCCTCATGGCCACCAGGTTCGCCCCACTAATTACGATTTCTCATTAGAACTTCAGGAGTCATCCCTCGAAGCTCCATCCATCCAAACCAACATGGAGTCAGGCATTACTGCGTAACGGTCCGAGTTGCCTCAGCTCATATCAGTACAGTGAAGTGGAAGATGATGAAAATAAAATTCAGTCGAAAGAAATACAAAGCACTAAAAGGAAGAATGAGAAAATGGGGAGATTCGGTATACCGTCAAGATGAGGATAAAATGTGTGTGTACATCTACGCCACTTATATCGGTTCTGAGCCATATCACCTAGAGTCTGCAGCCAATCAGATATCATGGTGGCGAGCCTTTTGTATCCGTGCAGAGATTTCATCGGTGACTGAGCCACCAGGGCTGATCTTACTTCCCAGGTTAGTGAAATGGTCGATACACTCAACCACTACACTCCCTATTGTTAGCCGAGACGCCGTTGAAGATCATTCCTGGAGCAACAATTTTCATTTGGGTGGTGAGAAACGTATCCCAAACATTCTTAAATTGCCACTCAAAGTGTTTGGAAGACTCTGCATCTTGTCAGCGTCTTCACCTAACAGGACAATGTCTTCTGCATATTCTAGGTCTAACGAAAATTCTCCTGCGATTGGGTCAACCTCTATGTAGTCAGGTGACGAGAGGGGGACCTGGATAAGATTATCTATGATAAAATTGAATAAGAATGGAAACAGTGGGCATCCTTGACGGATACCACTCAAAGCTAGTTACCAATGACCCACAAATTCATTTGGGTTTATCAGACCAAAAAGTGGCACCAATCGATGAAGTTTCTGACTCTTTGTTGTAGTCGTGTATTAAGATGTAGATTACCTGGTTAGTGTCCGTGAAACGACAGGAGTCAGTGGTTGAGGTCTCTTGGTGATATGGTTGGAAATCGGTCACAATGTGGCAGATGTATTAACTCTGCCTGTCAGAAACAGTGGTCATTTCGAATATGCGTAGTTCATGATCATCAATTAATTCATAGGTGGTAAACTGTCACCACTGTTAAAGGTATTTACAATCTCTATCCAAAAATAAGAAAATATTTTCCACAAGCACTTCGGAAAGAGTAATCCTTCAGAAGTTTATTTGTTCTCTCTTTTCATTGGACTTCAGTGGTATTCTTTTTTTTAATTTCTTCGCCTTCTCCAAATAGTAATCGTTCCAGTGCTTAAGTAGCTTACTTTCTCTATAGGAAAGAATTCGATTTTGTACAAATGGGATAACGTCGGTGGAAGATTGACAAAAATCTGTGTAATATACGAATTCTTGTAGAATGGATACCTGAAGTATGAAATGTACCTTGAAGTCAGCAGTAGCTGATTGTAATACCTTTCCTTATTACCCCTACCGCTGATGCTTGGCTTTTTTTTAATATAAAAAGATGCTGACAATAATAAAGGCTCCTGTGGAAGTTAGCCCAGTGACTCATAAGACGAACTAGTGCTTTCAAACGATGACGCTCCTATGTTAAAGAAGGCAGAGCTTTTCGATGCTATTGTCCCTGTTTCATTTCCTTTCGGATTTGTTGATGCTTGCGACCAATGGGTCATAGGTTCTAGCACCGCCCCACCTATGGAGTTTCGGGCAGCCAGGTAGTATCAGAAGTTCTCACACTACAAGTGTGACTCATTGCCTACTACGCGAATGTACGAAAGATTGCTGAGTAGTACATTTCGATTTTTTTTCGATTCCTGACAAAAAGCTCCGTGTAGCGGTTCATATGATACTGAAATTACTCATTCAGTGATACTACATTTCTTAGACAGTTTATACAACACTTCAATGGATCTGATTCTGTAAGTGCCAAATGTTCTAACCGGTAAGTTATAATATCCACATTCAGAAAAGTTCATTAACTTGGAGTTCAGTATCCATCATCTACGCATAATACCTAAAACGTTATTGTTTACCGTGAATTTAACAACATTTAACATATTTATGCAAGACATCTAACTAACTTCATTCACAAGTTAGTGCTGAAGGTATCACCTAGGCTGATGATGAAATGTCCACGAACAGATTGTCATCTCATTTTCACACATTTCACATCTAATAGACACTGAAGGTTTAGATAAAGTTTTCTAGCATCAGCTTTCCATCATGAAATAAGTTCTGACCGCGTAATTTTTTGGAATTAGACAATGAATTTTCATGGATTTTATGTGCATAGATGTTTTGCGTATGCTAGATAGTGTGCACATCTTTCTTAATATTTCAGTCATCAATGGGAATAAAGCTTAAGAAAAAAAAGGGATAATTCAGCGAAGAAAAAAATTTTTTAAGCTGTACAATAGTGTAAATACCACAAACATATGACAGTCTATTACTGAGCAAAATAGGATGTAGTTGCATCATTAGGCAAGCTAATGTTAAAATTCAAATCAAGACTGGGAGGAAGTTGCGTAATAATTCATTACACAATACAAATATCAAAAAATGCAAAGAGTTCGACAAGATAGAAATTTAATTTGGGGATTTGTCGGGTTTTATTAACTTCACATTGGTATTCATCATAGACTGACATCAATTGGAGAAACATTGGAAATCTAGTGACGTACTGACCGCGGAACCTAAAGGTCGCGGGTTCGACCCCTGGCAAGGCCGTGGGTACGCACTACTGAGTCCCATATTAGGACGAAGTAGCTATCTATTGCTCCCAGGTTTCTAACTGATGTGAGTTCATGATGGATACCAACTTGAACAGATAGAAATTGTTGGTAGATACGAAGTGAAAAGATTGTTTATCAACTTGATAGATATCAAGAAGATGAAGAAAGAAACAAGGGTTACAGTGAAGGTGCGAAAATTAAACTAACTAGTTATATAGTGGGATCAAAGATTTTGTAAGTGTTAAGTTTATGATAAGATAAGGGACTGAACATACTTCTTCTGTACGTAAAGAACAGATTTGATTGTGTGAATTACCAGCGTTTATGCTTTGCACAACTGTTGAAAGCGTTCTCCTTCTGATTATGTAAATGGCACTAAAGGAGGACTCTGGTTGAGCTATATGTCCAGAGTTTACCAGATACTCAAGAATTGAACTGTTAATTGATTTACATTCTTCCCTCGACAACCATATAGGGTAGTACTGAGAGATTATAATTTTTTTTAACTGGTTTATCATTTGATCTATGCATAGTACAGCTTTGTACAGATACTTTCATGAGAAATGGCTGAAATACATTTTCATTTCAACAAGATAAAGTTATCAGATGACACATTTTGATTTATGGATTCCTTTTTTTTCAGTATTCAGATTATAGACAATTAAGTAAATATGTTTGGGAAAATAGTTGACTTTAGCGAATGTTTATCTTCTTTAAAGTTTCATCAGGTTTGACTTTTGAATATGGGACAGACAGATAAAATCAACGTAGAATGTCGCGACTAAGTCCATCATCTCAGGTTGGCACACTTCACAAAAAGAGTAATATTAAAATAGATAAAGTTGTGTGAGATAATAAACAAGCTTTGGAAGACGTCAAGCAATTAATATGTCTGCGCCACTGACACCGATTTTCAACCATTGATTCTTATCGTCTCGAAAACTCCAACTAAGTAGTCTACATCTCTCCACTCAGCTTCTATCAACAATCAGGGACTTGATGGAGAGGTATTCCGTCTTGGTCTGGCCACTCTGAACCCTCTTCCAACCCAGTCCAACTTCTGCAATCATCACACGTCGAGGAAGGCGCTAACTCCGCATGCATAATACATGTTCAAGCCATCTCAGTCGATGAAGGTTCACAACATCATCAATCGACTTGTCTCTCTTGCGTAGAATCCTTCAACATTGCTTACACAATGATTCCACCAAATGTCGTCGGAAATCTGTTTCTCTTTCATACCTTCTTCTTTTAATGGCCATATCTCATCTGAATAACAGCAGAGAATGTACTCCAGTGCTTAAATATGAGTCACTGTAAAACTTGAGGACTGGTGGTATGTCGTAATCCCATGTAAGATTAGTTTATTTATTATAGCGCACAGTGTTATTTGGTATTATTTACTGGATGATTCGATTATAATCTGTTAATCATAATCATATTGAGGTGATCGTATAGTTTCCTGACATAGCTTCTATAGGTTGGAATTCATCAT